GGGCCGTGGAGGGGCAGAGCTAGGCTGTCAGAGGGGGTGTCGGTGGGAGTGAGGTGTGGAGGTCCACTGCATCATGAACCCGAAGGGAGAGGCGGGCAGGCTGAGGGTCCCCTGGTGCCTAGGCCGGGTTTCATTTCACTTTTCAATGCGGGAGTAGGGCAGTCAAGGGTCCTGCCCACGGCATCCAGTAAGTGGTACAACTGTGATTGGGGAACCCCCCGCCCCCGATGTTATGAGTGGGTGAGGTGGGGTGGTTCGAGCCCCACCCCTAGCTGCTCCTCAGGAGCAAGATGAGGCTACCTCTTCTCATCGAGATTTATTTACAGTCCCCCCGAAACATGAGTTTGAATCAACTTGAGGGAGTGGCTTGGCTGCACAGCACTGACAGACGGGCCCCAGTAGAAGGAAGCACAGGGGACTCCAGGGGTCTCTCAGGCGGGCTCCCTGTAGCACGGAGAGGACCAGGCCCACCTAGCTCTTCTATCCCAACTCTGCCCCCGCCTATCCAAGTGCACCTGTCAGATGCTGCCCCCTGCCTTGGTCCCGACAACCCTGAGGGATGCCTGGACTGGCCCGCAGGGAGGGAAGCAGGGTCCCCAGGCCTGGTGGTTGGCTTGCAGCCCTTGGTAAGGCCTGTTTTACAGCCGAGGTGGGAAGTCTTTTAGGGCAGAGCTGGGGCCAGTCTTGAGTCCTCGGGTTCAGTTGAAGGACCTTCCTCCTGCCGGAGTGTGGAGCTCGGGGTGACACGGGGCCCTGACACCCATGTTCCCCACCAGGATCTCCGTCTGCGACGAGGACAAGCTGAGCCACAACGAGTTCATCGGGGAGATCCGCGTGCCGCTGCGGCGCCTCAAACCCGCCCAGAAGAAGCACTTCAACATCTGCCTGGAGCGCCAGGCCCCGGTCTGTGGGAGGGGGCGCTGTTGGGGCACGGGCGGGGCGGGGCGGGGGTGGCAGCAGGCCCAGTAGCCAGCATCCTTTGTCCTCAGCTGGCCTCGCCCTCGTCCATGTCGGCTGCACTGAGGGGCATCTCCTGCTACTTGAAGGAGGTGAGGCCACATGGGAGGGGTGGGGCTGGGGAGGTCTGTGTCCCCTCCACGCCCTGTCCCACCACCCCCTCCCCATTGACCGGCCCTACCCCCATAGCTGGAGCAACTGGAGCAGGGCCCTGGGCTGCTGGAGGAGAGAGGCCGAATCCTGCTGAGCCTCAGCTATGTCTCCAAGCGCCGGGGGCTGTTGGTGGGCATTGTGCGCTGTGCCCACCTGGCTGCCATGGATGTCAACGGCTACTCAGACCCCTATGTCAAGACGTGAGCTGGGCCCGGCCCTGGGAAGCCTGCCCCTGTCCTCCGCTCTGGAGCCTGGGCACCTACAACAGTCCCTCCCCCAGGTACCTGAGGCCGGATGTGGATAAGAAATCCAAGCATAAAACGTGTGTGAAGAAGAAAACCCTCAACCCCGAGTTTAATGAGGTAAACGGGTGGGGGCGGGCGGGCGGCCCTTGGGGAGGGCCAGTCCTGATGGAAGGCTGGCGTCCCCGCCCCCAGGAGTTCTTCTACGACATGGACCTCCCCGCTCTGGCCACCAAGACTCTGGAGGTCACCGTGTGGGACTACGACATTGGGAAATCCAACGATTTCATCGGTGAGTGGCACAGCCCACTGGGAGGTGCGGATGGAGGGCATGCTGGCAGGAAGCTGGGCCCTGACTCTGCCCGCTCCCCAGGTGGCGTGTCCCTGGGGCCAGGTGCCCGCGGGGAGGCCCGGAAGCACTGGGGCGACTGTCTGCAGCAGCCGGACGCAGTCCTGGAGCGCTGGCACACCTTGACGAGCGAGCTGCCTGCTGCTGCTGGGGCCTTGCCCTCGGCCTGAGCTGCCGCTCCCAGGACTGGCCGGGCCGCCCAGCATAGCCCCCCGGGGAGCTGCGTCCAGCCCCCGACCTTCGCACGAGTGTGTTGCACGTTTACACGGGGTGGGGTGTCCCCACCCTGCACTTCCTGTCTTACTTTGTGAGAGTCTCCGTGTCCTGTGGGCCTGTCCTCTCCGAGGGGCCATGGAGAGCTGTCTTCATATATGCAAACTTCCCCTGCCTGACTTGCTGACTGGCAAATATGCAAACCCCCTCCTTGCACCCTGGCAGGGGGAGTCCTGCCCTAATGCCTGCTGCCTGCTCCTCCCTCCTGCCGTCCCAGGCTGCCTGTCCCCCTCCCCAAAGAGAGGGGGTCTGATCAGGGGGAAAAAGGGGGCAGTTTGGAGGAGGCGGCTTCCGAGCCAGGAAAGGAGGACAAAGGCCCAGATAAACCACTCCTTTAATCGTCTCGGTGAAGACCCGGAGCTGCCCCGGTGGGGGCTGCTGCCGGGCCTCTGCCTGCCCAAGAGGGGCAGGTGTTCCCCGGCCACTCGCTGACAGAAGTCATTGCCCCCCGGTAGAGCCGGGCCTCTCGGCCAGGGGCCCTGCCCTCCCTGTGGAGGGCCTACCTTCCGGGGGGCTTCCACGCATGCTCACGCCTCTTCTGACCTGTCAGCGGCCGCAGCATGGTAACCAGTGTCAATAAACGTCTCTGAGGAAGGTCACTCTGGGATGTCGATGACCAGGTCGTCGTCCCCGTCCAGGGCGTCGTCGCCGCTGCCTGCGTCGCTGAACATCTGCCGAGGGACGGTGCTCAGGATCGTGGGGGGGGGCATCTTGGGAGGGGGCAGTGGGGCCAGGGCTGCCCCTACCCCAGCCCCAGCGCCTCGCCCTGGAAAGGTCAGTGGCCCTCCCACAGGGCAGTCAGGGGGTCCCACCGCCATCTGCAGCAGGGGGAAAAACACAGGGGGGTAGTTGTCAGCGGGGCTCTGGGGCCAGGGGCAATGGACACAACCCAGCTGACTGCTGCAGGGCTTGGGGCCTGCTCCCCCCTCAGCCCCTCCCGAGGCCTGAACCAGCAAGTGCCTAGGGGGTGAGGGGTGCTGATGGAAGTGTGGATGGGGGGCAGGGTGCGAAGGGCTGGCCTGGCGTTCCCCAGCGAGGCCCTTGGGCCAGTAGGAGCCTGGAAGGCCAGCTGACCAGCTGCTCGCCAGGACCCTCAGTCCACTGGCCGGCTGCCTCTGGGCCCTGGCTACCTCCTGGATCATGGAGGGCACCGCAGGCTGCCCAGGCCCCCTCCCCTCCTCCTGAGGCATCTACCTCCTCTGCGCTCACCTGGGCTAGGTTACCAGCCTCCTAACTGGACTCCCTGCCTGCCGCCTCTCCCAGCTGCAGCTCCTCCACACTGCCTCCAGAGGGCGCTCTCTAGAACACAAACCTGGGCATGGCACCCCCTCCCCGGGGAGTGTCCTCGGCTGCCCGGCAGTCTTGCTGGGGGCCTGAGGCTGGGAAGGGGCCTCCCTCCCCCACCTATGGGAAGGCTTCTTGGTGCTCAGGTTCCTTAGGGGGCCGGGGGTGGCTTATCAGTGAACTCTGCCCCGGTGGCCCACCTGGAAGGGTGCAGAGACCTGGAAAGGAGGCGTTCCAGCGCAGGGCTGCTGGGCCCTCCCGACGGTGTCCAGTAAGGGCCCTCTGCTGCCCTCACCTCACCGGGCGTAGGGGGGGCGCAGGGGCGGGGATGGCAAGGGCCTTGGCCCTGCACTGTGGCTCAGTGCTCTAGAGCCTGCCGGGGGCCCGGGCGCGGACAAGTCCTGTGTACCCAGTCCCAGTACCGGGTCCTCTGGGCCCCGGGGGACAGACACACAGCTGTGAGGACAGTCCCTCCCTCTGCCTACCACCTGTCCGTCCCCAGCCCACTGCCTGGACGGGCTTGGCAGCTTCCTTGTGAGCTGGGGTGACGGTAGCTAGTGAGGAACCAGGACCAGGGCTGAGTTTTCTACCCTTTAGCCCAGTGCACCCTCCCAGTGACTCCCTAGGGCAGACACACAAGAGGCTCAGAGCGGGGAAGATAACCCCCAGGGTACCATGTGACTTGAGTGGAGGAAGGGGGATTCAGGTTCAGGTTCGTCTAAGGCCTGGCTCAGAGCCAACCTGCTTGGTCCCCACACTGTTTCCCTCCTCCGTGCAGTCCTGCTACCTCCCACCGCGTCACTCCGCACACCTCCACTCAGAGCTTTCTACCAGAGTGCTCCTACGCTGGTCGTGTCAGGTCTTCTGTAACCTGACCCGGCCTTCCTGCCTTCCTTCCCAAGGGCCTTTGCTCCTTACACTCCAGCTCCTACGTTTTTTGCCATGTCCCTGTCTTCTTCACGTCCCCTGTCCCCTCAGCCTGGAATGACCAGTTCCATTGACCCTACACCCTACATGCTCCTTCTCTGAGGTCTTCCCCGACGTCTCCCTTCCCCTCTTACACACCGCAGTCGGTGTGGGCCCCTCAACCTTGCTCGCTGACGCTCCTTGTCCCCAGAACCCTGCACCAACCAGCAAACCTCACAGGCCCGTTGTCTCACCCCTGCACCCTGCAGACTTCGCCACCCAGGCAAGTCCCCTCCGAAGCAGGGCAAAGCTTTGGCCAAAAGGTTAAAACCACAAGGGCCACAGGAGCTGGGATTCAAATGGCAGAATCCGCATGTGCATCCGGCCCTCACACGAGCCCGAGTCCCCACCAGCCAGCCGATCCGGATCCCCTTCCAACCTGCATGCGGGCTGGGCCTGCCAGGGGTGGGGGTTTAGGTGGCTTTTGTCCTGGCTCCGGGGCTCAGGGCTCAACCCACCACTGCATCCAGCTGAGGACTCTGGGGACACAGAGCCCCCTGCATCCCAGCTTGCTGGCCTTTCCAGAAAGCATCACAAGGTGTCCGGAGCCAGACTCCTCATCTTTCTTATACACCACCCCTCGCATCCCGCTCTTCTCCCAGCACCCAAGGGCCTCCCAGGGACCTTCATCTCAGTCTTTACGACACCCACAGGCTGTGCTCAGCCTCCCATCCCTCAGCTCCCGGAGCTGCCTGCTGCTTCCCTGCAGCCTCAGTACCTGGGCGGGGATCTGGCTCCCACTTCATTCTGCATACAAGCCAAGGGCTTTGCAGGGCCTGTAGGGCCCCCACAGGACTGCCCCTTGGTGGCTCATCTGACCAGCTCTCCCATAACGTACCCCCACCCCACCCCCACCCCCACCCCCCGCCAAAAAAAAAAAAATCCTGCCTCCTTCCTCATCAGGCACCTTCCTCAGGGCCTTTGCAAAGCCTGGACTCTCTGACTCAAAACACGTTTCTCAGAACCACTTCCCGCCCCTGCTGCTTCTCAGTTCTATTTAAATAATATTCCAGGCCACTCAGTCCCAAACGCCAGCCCCCACCCACCCTGGGGGCTGCCTACCCTCTTTCCTGAAGCCCGCTTTTTCTCCACTGCTGCGCAGTCACTGGCTACCGGCTTCTCTTGCCTGACTTTGGCCCCGGGACCAGAGACTTCCATGTGCTCTGCTCCCCAGTGCGCAGTGCACCTGCCACTCAGAGCTGATGGCCTGGCCTGGCTTCACAGATGTGGGCGGCGCACAGGGCTGGTGGGTCACGTGGCTCTTTACCACTACCTGAGCTTCTGGAACCAACTCCTGGCCCAGCCTGGGGCTGCCGGGCTCCGCAGAACCTCCCCAGGTGAGGAAACGACACCTGCTGTAGGTCACACTGCGGCCTATGTGCCAGCTGCTCCCAGGAGCCCACCCTCACAGGGCTCGAGGCTGCTTCCGCCCTGGGCTGGGCTCCCAGCCACTCAGTCTTTCAGAGTTGTCCAGGCCCCCAGCCCCGGGATGCCTCCCTTGGATGGCTGACAACCTGCGGCTCTAGTCCCTCCCTGACCTCCCCAAATCAGGGTACCTTGAGTTTCCGGGGCAGGCGGGGCCGTTTCTCCCGCTTGGGCCTCAGGGGGCTGGGCTCGGGCAGCTGCAGGGCCAGGTAGTCAGAAGGGAATGGGGGGTAGGGAGGGGAAGCCAGCTGCCATGGCGGGGGCGGGAGATGGGCATGGGAAATGGAGTGGATGGGGATGGGGTGGGGTGGAGGGCAGAAATGCAGAGGGAGGATGGAAAAACAAAAGAGATGCTGATGAGTTCGGCCCCTCTGGCTCCTGAGAGAAAGGAGGGGATGGCAGGACACTGTCTTCGGTTGTCCCCCATTCGTATACCAGAGACAGGAAGTGGGCAGGCCCGGCTCACGGCCTCCGAGGAGCCTGCTGGCCGAGTCCGGACACACATTCCCAGAGCGGGGCTGGCATCAACCCAAAGCTTGTCCCTCTGCCCAAATGTCACCCGCCTTGCTCCCAGGAACCTTAGTTCACCAAGTCCCACCCTGCACCCCAACTCACCGAGCTCAGGTAAGGGGAGGGGGCCCCAGAGGCCTGCAGGGGAAACCCTGTTGAAGGAGGCAAGGAGAGGCTGGAGGGGGAGGGGGCACTCCCCAGCGGAGGGCTTCTCTTCCTGGAGAAAGGATGGGGGTGGGGGGTAGGGGTGTCAGCAGCAGCTAGGTAGCCAGGTGTCCTGCCCCCTGCCCCCCAGAGAAAATTTGGCTTCTTCTCACCTTTTGGGGGCTGGCGTGTCTGACAACTTGGGGGTTCCCTCGGTCTCGCTGTTATCAGAAGATGCAGTGGCATCCGAGTCTGTGAAGGGAGGGGCTGGCTGACTGAGGGCTGGGAGTCCGGGGCTGCTGGGGCTACCCAGCAGCGGGGCCCCAGCTCAACAGGGAGCCAGGGGAATCTGACTCATGTGGCCCCCTCCTCCCGTGTAGTCCGGGGAAGCCCCCAGCCGTGACAGCCCGCTTTTCCAGCTCTACTCTGGACCAGCCCTTTCCTGGTCACCCGCTCCTCCAGGAGACTCACTCGCTGCGGAGGAGGGGCAGGGCCTGTGACCCACCGCCACTTTGCAGACAGGTTCCAGTGAGGCTCAGAGGACAGCGGGGGGCCAGACCTCGTACTCAGGTCTGCGACTCCTTGAGACCTCGGCCCTTTCCAGTCCCCCTCCTCCCCTCCCTTGGTCACTGGTCCCACCAAGGGCAGCTCGCCCTGATGGCAACCCCCCCTGCTAAACAGCCTCACCTCTTCTTGCCCCACCCTGCCACCCATGACCCGCTTAAACCGCAGGACGACCAGAAAGGTCAGCCGGGTCGCAGCCCTCCTGATGCTCCCCCGTCTTGGAGGCCATGGCGGGCTTTTTCATTGGCCCTCAACCTCCCCTGCTGGTCTCCCGTGAAAAACCGTACTCTACCATCCCAAGCTCCTTTGTCAACGCAGAAACTGACCCGTTGTCCGCTCTGCACGAAAGCCCTGTCCTTCTGTAACAAACAAGGGCTACCCATGCTGTGCGTCCACTTTCAGGCTCTCTGCTCCAAGGGTCCTCAAGACGTCTCCCAGACCACCTCGGGCCCAGGTAACTGCTGGCCGCCTCCCGCCACACACTGCGGGCCTCTCTAGGGTGGGAGAGCTGCGTGGAACCCTGCACTGGCTTTGGGGCCTCACACACAGCCCCTCTGGCTGTGCGAGTGCTGGGTCCTCCCATGGCCTCTGCCCTATGTGGCTCCTCCGCCAGGAATCAAGTTGAAGGTCCCGGGGAGGGCACCAGCAGGGGAATGAGGCTGGAAGGAAAGACAGACTTCCTGCCATACCTACACAGCCCAGTGGACCCTGCCTGCTCACCTGAGCTGACCCACCGCCTCTCTCGCAACCTGTAAACAAACAGTCAATGCATGTTCCAGCGGAGCCCAGAGGGTGTTGTGGGTAGTGGGTTACACATTGGGCCACCGGGTCAGTGGTTGGAAACCCCCGGCGGCTCCTCAGGACGAGCCGGCAGCTTTCTACTCCCACAACACCCTGCAGGCTGGCCGTGAGCCGTTGGCCGGGTCAGTGGCACCGGGAGGCGTGGCGAGGGTGACACGAAGATCCTGCAGGGGGGGGCGGGCCACATGCACCCCTGCTTCAGGGGCTTCTACCAACTATGGATCTCAACGCATGGACGGCTCGTGAAGTCCCCGTAGCGGTTTGTTACCGTCACTCAAAGGAGAGGGGCGGGGGGAGTCTGAAGAGTGTATAGCGGCTTACGCTTCTTCATCAGACTTCATTTTCTTGACAGGTACATGGGGGCTGGGTTTGAAGGCACACTACCCCACTTCACCCGTGCCTGCCCTGCTGGTTCCCACCTTACTCCTCCTCCTGGGAAACTCTTGGTCCCGGGCCGGCGCTGGTTCCCACCTTACTCCTCCTCCTGGGAAACTCTTGCTCACATCCACACATGGCTGTGTCGTCTTAGAATTTAGGCCCCAGGTTAGATGACAACGTTAGAAACGTTACTTCTTGGAAGGAGGGCTCTTTGGTCATTCTACAGGACCCTGGCCTGCTTCCTGCTTTCGAAGGGTCTGCCAACTAAGGTGGTCTTTATACTTTTTAATTGTTGGAGGGGAAAAAAAAGTCAAAAGAGAGTTCATGATGTGAAGATTCCATGGAATGAAACTGTCGGTGTCTACGAAGAAAGCTTCATTCAGATGCAGCCACAATTGATGGGCTTGTTACATACCTGTCTGTGGCTGTTTTGAACTACTCTGAGCTGAGTACTTGTGACAGTCTGTCGGCCCCACTAAGTGACTTGGGAAGAGGTACTATCTGGCCCTTCAGAGAAAGCTTGGGAATTCCTCCTTTACCCCAAGTGCAGCACCGTCGTCCCATTTACACCCCACCCTCCCCAAACTCACAGCCACCGAGCAGTGCATTCCGACTCATCAAGCCCCCATAGGACCCAGCATAACGGCCGTCACTTTCTAGGGGAGAAGAGAGCCTCTTCTTTCTCCCGCCGAGGGTCTGGCGGTTTCCAACTGCTGACCGTTCAGTTTTCGGCTCAAGGGCCGTCACCGTAACCAGATCAACATCGTAGCTCCTCTGCTGACTTGTGTCCCCACCCCCCCAAGCAGAGGACTCGCGGGTTCCGTTCATCTTACGGCTTGCTCTCTGTCCCTGGTTCTAAGCACAGCGCCCAGAACACGGCACGAGCGGTCAAGACCTCAGTGCAAACAACCAAAGCCACGGGAGAGGTGGA